GGAATGGGCCCCCACGATCGCCAGGTTTGACCACCAATGGATTTTTTTTCTTTTGGGGTTACATTAAAGCTAAAGCATACGAAGTTAAGATACGGGGCTTGCAGCACCTTAAAGAACGCATGAAAGTGTCATGGATCTGGCTGGGAAGCTACACTTCTCCATGTGCAGGCTAATTGGATAAAGCATTTGTACACGTGTGGAATATGAAAGAAAACATTTTTCAGAAACCAGCAAATACGCCTCACTCGGCCATGTCTTTATTTTTTTATTTTATTTTTTTCTACATTAGAACGATGCCAAACGATCCCGAGAAGAGTTGGTGTCAGTTTCGACCGTGCGTTTTCGTCAAGTGGAAAAAATTCAAGGATGGACGGATCGTTCGACTACGGTATAGGCATACCATGGCAGACATTCATACTGATTTCTTTGTTCATTTTTATCCAGTGGCCTCATGGAATGACAGACCCATGTTCAAGGAATGTAGAACGCACTAGAAGATATTTAAAAATTCGAAAAATTGAAATCAGGTGACTGAGGATGGATAAACCATTAATCCAGAGGTCCCCCTCGCAGCGTCATGAGGCATGGGCTCATCCAAATATTTGCCACTTTCAACAAGGGAAGCAAAATGTCATGTTAAAAAAAATGGGAAAATGATTTTCCTGAGAAGCGACTGGGGTATCCCCACGAGCCGCATGGTAGGGATGCCGAGATTTCTTTACAGGCATTCTTTCGGTCGATTTAAAGAGCATGAGGTTCTTGCCCCACGTCTCCTAGAAGCCTATGGGCGTGGAGATCCGTCCCCGATGGAACCTTCACGGCAAAGTATATAGATGCGAAGCATCAGGTAGTGACGACAGATCAAATGGGTGCCATGTTTAGTACAAGCCCAGCCTGCCTTCCCATTCTCCCTCTCTCTCTACAGCCACAAATGTAAACATTTTTGCTTGTGGCAAAGAAGGGGAAAACTGGAAAAATAGGCCTATCGCCTGTCCCAGTCGGGGCCTCCCCTCTTTCATCTGAAAATGCGTTGATTTTCATGAAAACATGAATTACGGTCGTGCCGACATGACTCTTCCTCCTGCCTTATATCAATGCTCTTTCCATGCTCCATCAATAGTGGGTTGGTCAGATTTAAAGTCAGGCAGGTTCATCTGCCACTCTCATAAGGGCCTACCAGAAAATGACTGATGAGAGTGGCAGACCTGTGCCTAGCCTAGTATTGTAGGTGGCAGTTCCATCATCAATTTAATTGGATGAGAGAAGGGGATGAAAATCCAGCTTTTAAAGTGACATTCCCTTAAATTTAGTCACAACTCATCACATATCCTTTCTCCATATGAATTTCCCCGCAATCCCCTGAAGAGTACAGCTTTTTTCATCTTGATTTGAGCATGAAGAAATCTATCTTACCTAATTTGGCTGCATTAAAGAGTGGAAAATAATATTGATGTTGCCACTAAGACAAAGGGTTTCTTGAACAGCAGACTGTTTCATACAAGAATTAAATCTGACAGCAGCTAATACAATGTAAATGGTGCATGTAAATTCCTTGACAGTTTCATTTTTAAAGAAGCAATTTTTACTATACTCCAAAATATATTTGTAAGTGTGATGTGAGGGTGTCTTCAGCTGCAAGGTTTTCAGTTATCAGGGACACTAAGGGGATCCAATTTCGAATGTCATAGATTTCACCTTCTTGGTAGAATATAAATAGGAGCATCATGCTTTCTAATGAGGAATGTAATGGATCTGCAACACTGATGCCTTAAAAGACATCTAAATGATGCAATGCATCCCTGCAGTTCCTTTCTTTCTTTCCATTCCTGATACTACAATGAACCCTAAGGGGACCTGCACTCGGTTGTTAATGGATCGCTTTAGAAGCACTGATGGTAATTATCTGTTGCCTGTTCTTCAGGCATTTACAGACTTTTTGAGTACATTTCCCCTTACTCAGAATAGTTTTCACCTTCCTCAGAAATATTCTATGGTCAATGGCATCAATACTTTACTTTTTCATCATTCAATGTGATCACAAGATCATCTATCACAGTGACATCGAAGAAATATTTCATCTTAGGAAAACTGCAATAAGCAAGACCAATGAAGTCCTAGGCCCGAACAAAAAAGAGGATTTTAAATCTCAGTTCAATTCATGGTCTCTACGGCCAGGACCTTCCCACCNCTCTTCTCTTTCCTTTTTCTTCTTCTTCTTCTTCTGGGATTTTTGGTGAATTTCAGGAGTCTCAAAGGCTGGGTGAGGTTCACTACTGGCCGTTTCCTCCTCCCAAAACCGATCACACCTTCCTTTTGCTTTCCTCTTCTTTCCCGAGTCCCACTGCACGGAGTCCTCCAAAGGCAACCACGCCGAGCCTTCAGACACTTCCTCCCCGCCGCCAGTCGTCCCCCAGCACTCGGACGGAAAGCCGAGGGAACTCCTCCCGCTCCACGCGCTCTCCTTTCGCCTCCTCTTCTTCCTCTGCTCGACATCCGCCTGCGTCTCGTCCTCTTCCTCCCGCTTCACGCCGACATCACCCGCTTCGTCCGTGCATGCACCGTCCCTGTTACCGACTGCACTGAGGGCTTCGCTCTCGATCCCACTGTCCGAGTAGCGATCGCTGTCTTCCCCTCTCTCTTCTCCATCCAGCGGTATCGTCACGTCTCGATCCGTCGGTTCGGGTACTTCCGGCTCGTATCGACTCTCCTCGCCTTCTTCCACCTTGACGCCGCGTCTAAATTACGTAAAACAACGTAACCGATCGGTTCGGCTTCGTCCGTTTCAAAGCTGCCGGGCGAACTCGAACGGTTTCGTTTCTGAATTAACTGGAATTTCAGATTTCATCGAGTCACCATTTCCCTAAATACCAACATAACAGATGCATGGCATCGATGAGGGGCACCTGCTGAAATTACGGGCAGCAACAATAATAAGATGGAATGGAATGGGAACATGAGGAAATATTAGTGGCTGCTGACATTACAATACAACCTTTGCCACATCATCTATGGCCTTAAACAAAGACACCCACACGTGTACCAGGTAAGTACCAGGAACAAGTAACAGACAAGGCTCAGTCTTTGGTGAGATTATTCATTTCCATTGTGGTTCAATGCAGACAGTGTACTCACCATAAACTAGCCTCAAGCCTCAATTATAAGAAACTTCAACTCATAGGCACGACCAATTACCTCATGAATAGGACATAGAAGAGAACTGAGGCGAACAATGGAACTACATGACAGTCCCTTCATTCCAGAGATTCTTCCACCCCATTATGTGTCATTTCAAGGGCAGAGCCACACAGCTCACTCATGTTGCGCTTGTGGGCTGCTGATACATGCTACGCATACGATATCATGAACTTAGCAGTTTCATTCCCCTTCTACGCTTCATCCCAGATGAATCGTGTCTCCACCCATAAGAAATTTCTGAGACGAAGCACCAAAACACAGACACGAACCTGAGTACCCCCAGGAAGACTCCCTTGACGAACGGGATGCGTCGGCCGAGATGGACGGTGGAGACGCGGAACCGCACGAAGTCCCCGCTCTGCACGCCCCCAAAGTCATCGCCGGGCTTCTCCTTCACGACGTAGGCATTAAACAGCCGGTGGACCAAGCACCCCAGGTGACCCTTGAAGAGCTTCTGAACCACACCTCAAATGGAAGACCCAAAAACTACGTCTAGAGTAACAGCTAGTAGGACTGCAACAAGTACAGGGTGGCCATGAAGTCAAGCATCATATGGTTTTTTTAAATTTTTATTCTAGGTAATTCACAGCTGAAATGTCTCTTTCAAACGAGAAAACGAGTGGAATGGGCCCCCACGATCGCCAGACTTGACCCCAATGGATTTTTTTTATTTTGGGGTTATATTGAAGCTCAAGCATACGAAGTTAAGATACGAGATTTGCAGCACCTTAAAGAACGCATGACAGTGTCATGGATCTGGCTGGGAAGCTACGCTTCTCTGTGTGCAGGCTAATTGGATAAAGCATTTGCACACGTGTGGAATTTGAGAGAAAACATTTCGAACAGGTCACATAATATTCCCATGATGCTTGACTTTATGGCCACACCATAGTTGCAGATGTGGAATGCAGATACACAGCAGAACACCTTGTTGCAAATTTGCCTAGAGCTCAATTTGTCAGTCACTCTAAAGCTATGCCATGTCTCTTCAATTGAGCGAGTCATAATGGAATGAAAGAATAAATAGAGAAAAAAAATTTATTTGGCTTGCTTTCATGCCATTTTTTGTGCTTGGTTGCTCTATTTCTCTCTGTTTATGCCCGAAGGCAAGAAGATTATGGTAGCATAAAGTTATAAAACGTTATTGCATGGGAAATATTAATGTAAGAGACAATGGCCAAATCCAGGAAGATAATTTGAAAATACTTCGTGGAACATTCTACTAATTGCAGTCATGTCAACATACCGACAAGAACTTGATCTGTCTGAGCTGCAAAGACTTGGAACTTTACTCTGATGGCAACTTGTATCATTCCGGAGGGAAGAACCGTCCCAACGGGCCGAATATCTAGTGTTTTGTATGAGATCGGTACTCCATGCACCCTGAAAAAATAAACAGCATAAACAACATTCATGATGCAAGAAGTTCTTGCTGTTAAGGTACATGTCGATGATCCTCACCGGGGGTAGTACTTGAGAAGAAAGCTCTTGAGTCCTTCATCAACACCCTCTTGCATGTGGATGGAGTGCATTGGGTGCATGGGGAAAAAGATAACCTTCTCTACCTCCTGCAACCCACTCTCCTTGTCTGTCTCTTCTGGTGAAACTTCAGTTTTGATAGGCAACACCATCTTGGAGATTAAATCAAAGAACTCTCGGTCAGAACCTCATCGTCTCGTCCGTACGAGAACGAGAAGCCGGGGAAATGCTCTTGGCCCGAACTTGGCAAGAGCATGCCAGTCACAAGAGCTTCTGGTGACAATGGGCAGGAATGATTCAAGATCCATTCATACATTGAAAAAGAATTGGCAGAAAATACTTTTTTATTTCGTAAAACATATCGTCCCAACTCCATTCATAAATAACAAAAAAACTCTCAAATGCAATGCTGCGATGAAGATAATCTAGACCTATAATAAAACATAATAATTATACTGAATAAATCATCCCCTTCAAATGGCCACATGTGCATTCATATTTTTATACTTTGGATTACACAAAAAGAAGACAGAAGAGTAATACCTTAATGCACTCCAGATTACCCAGCAAGTCTATCAGCAACAAATAAATTTTAGGCTGCATGCAATCTTCTTGATCTGTAAACATTTCCTGGGATCTATGACAGAGAGACAGAGAAAGAGAAGGAATGAAATGCAGAGGCAAAAGCCAATGCAAGCACACAGGAGAGATTGTTCATACTTCCCTTTGACATATCACAGAACTGAGAAATAAGTAGTGGAGATTTGGCAATCTGTTGTGTCTCCCTTGCACAGAGTGAGCAACATTGTTCCATTCCAAGAGCCAGATCATCACAGAAAGGAAGGGGAGAAATTTAAAACTACATCAATAGAATACTCTGGAATAGTAGAGAAATTGATTCAAGGATAATCTGGACTGGAACTGGCTGGAAGACATCTAGTTCAATTGAAATGATAGTTTTTGCTGCTGCACTCATGAGAAGGCATCAAAGGGAAAACCACAGTCCATAACTCCATGTATGGTCTTTGTAGGCATGCAACAAACACAGTAACAAACGGCTAGGAAATAGAACACCAGCCAGGTTCACTCCGTGCCATGCGTTCAATGTCTTCTCGACGCAGCTCTTCGTCGTCCTTGTCCTCCTCCTCGTCTACGTCATCGGGTTCGTCCCGGTCCCCTTCGTCGGATGGTTCTGGGCTTTCCTTCTCTCTTGTGCTAGAGGTCGAGGCGTTGCGCGACCTCGACTCACGAACCATCGGCGTACTCGAGCCAGAGTGGGATGGGTTCAGGTGGCAACGAGTTGCATCCGACATGGACGAGGATGCGGAGATGGAAGGCGTCTTGGGATGATGATTGAGACGGAGGAGGAGGTTCACTTGGCTCTGCAAGGCCAGCATGAGGGGCTTATAACCCGGACTATAGAAACACAGAAAGGGAGACTTTTACAATAACAGTTCAAACACTTCATCAACAAAGCAGAAGGTAGATTCAACTGCACTGATGATTTCCATAATTGTAAGGATTATAAACAGTGACTTAAAAAGTATTAATGTCAGTTTTCATTTAAAAAATTTTCACTGAGAATCATGAACACATGACAGATATTGATGGAGAAATAAAACTGGTTGCCAAGAAAGAACCAAATGAATCCCTCTGATACTTCAATAAACTACAACAGACATGGCATTTCATTACCAAGCCCATAAGATCACTGAATACCATCTAGGCAAGTTCCCCATATGAACACACCATTCTTGATCAGTCCAACGTTCAAGGTCCTGGAGTCCCTCCTGGAGGCGAGCCAAGGTATCGGGAGAGACCTGACTGGAGCGTGCAGCATTGAGGACCCGTAGAACGGCCATGGCATCCCGAAGCACCAACGAGATCAAAAGACTCCATTCCAAGCACCCACCTTCTTGTAATAATTGCAACAAATACCTGCACAAAAAAAATCAGACTAAGTTGAAGACTGACGGACAGATTTTTGAGGGCTAACAATGGACATTCATGCATCCTTTGAGTATTACATTGAGAGCAATTACAACTTGATGACAAAATCTGCAAATGCCCTGGCAGAGGGGGATATTGCAATCTCACCTGAGTTGGACTTCAGCATCATGAGGTCCCTTGTTAGCCATCTCTTGTGACAGTTGTTCCAACGTCGAGAGGCTTGGAATACCTGAGAAGTCCCAAGAGGAAGAGGATAATGAACGTGACTTCTCCCCATCCTCTCCTTCCCCCCACAAGGACAATTCCTCCTCACTTTCCATGATGCTAAATGTGCTCTCACTCTCTAGACACCAATACCCTTCACATTCAATAACTCATTCCAACAAAACATCAAGCATGACTATTAAGATTTGCTCACCCTTCACATTGAGTGGTTTGAGAGGTGCCTCAACAGCAGAAGCAACATCATCAACAAGGTGTGGACCATTGCCATCTGGTGGAGGGAAGCTGATGTACCCACTATCCCCCACTTTCTTCCCTGGCACAGCTTGAGGATTTGGAGGATCAGCGAGATCCATGACCAGACCTCGGAAACCTGCTTCCAACCCTGACTCCACTGGGGCTGCATTGCTCAAGGAGCTCCTGGGAGTTGACTCACCTGTGGATGCAAAATTCCAATGTATGGAACCCTAACCCAAAAATTTAATAATTAGCCTATTATAAATGATATTAAGAATTATAGCCTATTAGATTGAGCTAAGTTTAATTTTGAAATTAATAAAGACACACTTATGGCAACAGAACATGACTTGGAATTAATGAGCAAGCAAGTATTCCTTTATATTTGTATCACTTATTGGCACTCAATCCACAAATATCAAAAGAGAAAGATCCTAATGATTTTGTAACTGTAATTGGAGATTTTACAACATTTAATGCGATAACAGTATGGGAATTGTGGGTGAGGTCCAGAGAAGATCAGACCATAAAGATTCCTGAAAGCTGGAAATTATAGGGGCCCACCATGGATATAGAAATCTATATACAAAAGATATGCCTGACATGATTTTGAAATGCAACTTCAAAATCATGTCATGAAATTTCACATATTCAAAATAAATAATTTCTTGCACAAGCTGAGCTGCATTTCTTATCAGAGACACACTCACTGGAGAGCCTCTGAAGATAATATGAGACAGGATGAACCAAAATGGGGTAGGGCCACTCAAAGTCCTTGTGGAGCTTCTTGAGACTCCACACAAAGTCCTCCACCTTGGCTGCTCGGTCCCGTTCCTTCTTGAACCAAGACACGAGGTGAAGATCGAGATGGGCTGCAAAGTAGCCCAGGGAACGCAAGGATCCCCCCGACATCAGCTTCCGAGCATGACCCTCCAAGATGGCATCAATGAAGGACTCTGACTCTCTTGGACCAGATGGATATGTTCCAGGGGCCTTGACACCTTTGGGTGGAGTCCGTCCTGGGACGTTGCGTGCCGTGGCGGGCTCGTTGCTGCTTATCCTTGTCACCTCCTTGTGCATTGATGGGATATCTGGCATCACAATAGACCCACGTGGGGCACTCAGGCTCCTTCCTCGGGGGACCTGGTCCAAACAGGAGATTCCAGCATGAGGCAATGACACTGTCATCTAACACACAGTACAACCTTTCAAGGCTTAAGGAATGCAATTATAGAAGATATTGGAGCTTTCTACTCACTTGCATTGAACCAAGGACCAAGGAAAGGTCATCCATGTTAGGGCTGACTGGGGGGGACGATGCACCTAATCCATACATCGGCAATGAACTCACAGACGTTCGGGGTGATTCCACGTCATTAGGATCTACAAGATTGACAATGCCCACTTGAGAATTCCTCAAATATCCAAACTGTTCTAAATGTAGACAGAACCAGACAAACCAATGGCGCGGAGATATCGAACGAGATCGGTGGCAAGGTCCCACCGGCTTTGGTTCAGGGCTGCATCTAACAGAACTGTTGCATGCCTTCGACTCACATGAGGTGTCTCAACATTCTGCATCAAACCAACATCAAATACAGATTGACTATTTTTTAAATCTAGAACATACAGTTTACATTCATACATTCTAGTTCCTATATTCGGGCAAGATTTTACTTGTTACAATCACTTTGTGTCGATAAGCAAAAAAAGTCTGGAGCATTTTTACAAATGTAGACACATTTATCTATAATGAATAGGATAAATATTGCATCTGTCTGACTTCAACCAAGTTCTTAACATCATACTACAAGTGTGTTTAACCTCTTGGCAGGTGAGTTTCATGAAGAAGAAATCCAAGGTCTGGAATGCTTCTTTTTCACCATTTACATCTGATTTTTTTCAAAGAGTTTCTCCAGCATCAATACTATACAAGAGATGGGAAGGAGGTCACTACAGCATAAATGCGTGGTATTTAGCATTAGAAATCTTTATCCATACACAGTACAAAAGACAGCCATTTTCACCGTGTGCCTGCTGAAGGGTTAAAGAAGTGAAGAGGATGTGCAGGCTATACCTGAAGAATGACCAGATAGTTAGCTGCTGTGTCCAGAAGGCCTTTATGAATGCACTCTTGAAATAGGTCCCTGGGGTTCCCAGCAAAGGCAAAGAGGTGATGCCATAGCGCAAGCTCTGACTTCCTTGCGCAACCAACAACTGTCTGAAGGAAAATGGGGAATTCCCGAATGAAGTCCACCACAGAAGGTAGCAAGGCATCAGGCAGAGGCTCTTTGCTCGTTGCCTCTTCCTCCACCACCTATAACCAGACGCAAAAGTATAACGATCCAAAGTCGAGTCAACTGGGAAGGGACTTGAAGACATACTGAGACCTCAGGCTACCTTGTGAAGCAGCAGCTCCAGTGCATGTGGGAAATAAGGAAGACTGGAGCAAGTACGAGCAATCTCCCAAGCAGGAAGGCCAAGGTTTCTCCTCAACAGCTGTCTGAGAACATGCTGCAGGTAAACCTCGCTCTGAAAAACCAATATAAAAAATCACTGAAAAATGTGCTTTTTAGAAATGCAGTCGACTCTCGGTATAACGAACACTGATATGATGAAATTTTATTATACATCTTAGATGTTGCCCAATCTAATGTCCATACACATCCGTGCTAAGAATTTGGTAATGACGAAATCAGATACAAAGAAATTCCCAATATAATGAAGAATTCTGTCATCAGACACTTAATATAATGTATTTTCCTCTGTCCAATAGGAAATATTTTTTTTCCTCCCTCTTGACATAATTGCAGAAGAGTCAATCCCCTCACCCTATTCAGCCCTTCACCTCAGTCTTCAGGTGCATGGCCTACGAGAACCAAGGATTTGGCACTTGCAGAATGTGCATGATAGGGGAAAGAATGTGGGTGAATGTGCATGTGGGAAAGGATGTGAATATGGGCAATGCATGTGAATAGCACGTCAATTCTCACACTCAGCAACTTTTTATCCAGCTCCTATGCTTTGTTCATCCTGTGCTAGTTTAATTTTACAAGGCTTAGGGGAGGTCCATGCCCTTTACTTGGCAGAGGCTTTTACACATTTAACCCTTTTGCTGCAATATTGATTTTGGCACACAGCCAATGGCAATGTTACAGGAAACAAGTGAAGTTGCTTTTGGCAGTGAAAGGGTCAGCTGTCAGCTGCCAACACATTTTCCTAAGCTTTAACTGTGATGCCACGTGACCCACCAGTGGATAGGTGGCAGTGAAGGTGTTTAAGTATTTTTTTCATGAAACCCTCAAAAGTTGTCAGGCCCACATAGGATAATATGGGATAATAATAATGCATACACAGGCAAAACAGGATTCAGTTCTCTAATTGGAAATATATGCTCCCTCCTGATATAAAAAAATAATTATGGTGGCTTCTTCAACTTTGTTATAATGAGAGTCAACTGTACAAAGACAACTGAAGTCCCATACTGGGTTATTGACAACATGCAAGTTATGCACATGCAAAAGAAGTTGGTAATTGAGTCTCACATGATGAAAATTTTCTTAGCAAACAAAATAAAGCTCAGAAAAAAAAGAAATGGGCGATGATGGACTGGTTCATGAGCACTTAAAAATTGGCCACATATTTAATTGTATGCTGCTGATATTGGAACATTCCAAGCCATCCTCCTTTTTTCAACTGAGTTTAAAAGTTTTCCTCAAATATAAAAAAAAGTCAATCAAAAGACAGACTGTCAAGACACTGATAGATGTCTGAAGGAGTCTCCCTCTTGCCTGCCCTGGTCTACAGCTGCTTTAACAATTACACAACATATTCTTGTGATGCACATAACCACAACCTTGAATACAACTGAGAAAACTTTGCAAACATACTGGGCTGAATGTAGTAAGTGATTAAGAAGTCAATACTATAATGGACCTACTACAAGAAAACTCAAGTACCTCGAGTAACTCAAGTACAAGCTGTATGAACAAGTAAATATTTACCGTTCTCTCCAGAACGCAGAATGGAAGCTTGGGAGCATGGGATGTGGTTTGCTGAGGGAAAAGGATGGTATCCGTCTCCACACCGAGGACCACTGCTGCCTCATACAGCACAGCTAGAAGACCAAATGATTCATTTACATGGACAATACATATTTAAATTTTTTTATTTCTTTGGAAAAACAAAACAAACCAAGGGGATAAATGGAGACAGGTGCTTGGATCATGATGCGCTTGGCCATGAAAGCCTTGTCCCCCTGATGTGGGAGAAGAGGAAGCCACACACGCATACCCATAGCCCCACAATGAAGCCAGAGGGATTCAGTTAGATGAGGCTTGACCCCACTCTTCCAGCCAGGGAGCCACACGTTCTCCACACAAGATGCCAACACTGTTGGCAGACCTGCAGTGACCTGAAAGCAGA